ATACTCTTACAAAAAAAAAAAAAAAAAACAGCAAAAGGATTATATTGGGTTACACAGATCAGAAGCCTTTATCTGTTGTTTACTGAGGTAAAGTGAAGTGACATGTGGCACTTACCTCTACCAAGTGCGTCCCACTCTTTATTTTCTCATTCATGCATGTTTCCTTATCACTCAAAAGGTTTATAACGTTTAAGCAGTACTGTGTTGTGTGCATACCGCGGAATACACGATATAGCAAAATCTCTAACGATTGATACTTTATTTCGTGTATACCACCATACCGCTCAGCCCTATGTGACCATCTTCACCAATGCAGATCACCACGTACTATCGCTGATGCCAGGTATCACATACATATTCCTGTTCCCACATCTTGTTAATGTTAATGACAGGAAGCTTAAAAGACTTAATCCAACAAAAGTTTTTTTTTCTAATAGCGAAACAGAACAGAACAATACTGCACATCTCAGTAGTAACTCAAGCTGGAAGACTGGATAAATGCTGAAAGACCACAAGTCATAACAAAGAACATGTAACAATAGGAGTAGAGTTTAGTTTTTGTTTTGTTTTTTCTACCATATAAGATTCCCCTGTGACTTCTTATTTAAAAGCACAGAAGTTAACCTGAGGGTTAACTGCCGAAAACACCTGCCACACTACTCCCTGGAGATAAACACACACTAATATTCATCACCACAGTTTAGTCATTTTTGCTATCAGCTCAAGAAAGCTGTCGGACATAGATTATGACTCCAGCTACTGTAATCATACATGCAAATGTAGGAACTATTGTAATGTTTGCATTGTGTAATTTGTTGAGTATGGTCACCTGTAGCCTCAGGCAGCCTGTTGCATTATTACACAACATAATTCCACCAAAATAAGTTTGGACAAACATCCAAATAACTAAAATCAAAGAAAAGGCACCAACAGGTGCATGCATAAAATGTACGACATAATATGGAGACGTCTGCTCAGCTTACCGTGTAAAAGCCAATCCTACACAGGGCTATTGAGAGCTGAATGTGTTCTGACATCGTCCCCAGCAACAGCGTTACCCCAGACAACAAACAAGCCGAGCCAGAGTAACTGGATGAGGACAAGAGGATGGCTTTGAAGAGGGAACAGAGAAAGACACTATATGAAGACAGAGATTCAATGGTTCTTCTTCAAATGAAAGGATGGAGAAAAGAGGAAACTGTTCTATTCATCCCCATTCATAAATAAACGAGAGCTAGAGGTGGGTGAATACTCGGGGAGAGAGAGAGAGAGACAGAGACAACAACTAAAGGGGATTAGTAGAGCGCAGTCTCAAGAGATTATCAACTCAGTGACTCGTATTGAAAAATAAAACTGCTAATTGGATTAGTTACTTTTACACACCTACACTCAATTAATTATATAGAATAATTGCAAAAAAATTGTAGCCACTGTCAGAAATGTACTGAAGTTTGACTGAAATAATCACATTATATATTCTGATGAGCTATATAATAATGTAAAGATGTGTGAACAGTTCTCTCTTCCCTCTACTAACAAAGGAAATGCTAATGAATACAATGATGATAATAGTGATAATTGTGTCTTCCTCAGTGAGAGAAAAACCCAGAAAGAGAGATAGAAAAGTACAAGTTGAAAGCTAACATTATCACAGCATGCAGCTGGTGTGTCAAAATAATATGCAGTTTATTAAGGTCTCAAATGTTTAACATAAATTCGATTTTTAGTCTTTTCATTCACATGAAAATTCAATTACCTATACCAGGTAATATACTTTTAGTTTTATTCAAAAAGGACACATTAAATTGATCAAAAGAGGCAGTAAAAGCGTGTTATGCATTAATATTACAAACATATCTATTTCAAATAAATGCTGTTTATATGAACTTTGCATTCAAACAACCCTGACAAAAGTATCATGGTTTCCACAAAAATATTAAGCAGAATAACATTTTTCAACCTTAGTGGTTAAGAAATATTTCTTATTATCAAATCAGCATATTAGAATGATTTCTAAAGCTTTGGATAAAAGCATATGCTAAATGAACAAACGTGAAGTGTAAACGTGGATCATTTGACACTGAAGGCTGGAGTAAAGGCTGAAACATCTTACCAACCCCAAAGTTTTGTACCCTCCCAAACAAGCATACAAATCCAAAGACATAAACAAACAGTATTCCAGGCCTACTGATGTGTTCAGCCAGTCTGACATTTTCAGCGGACCTTTGTTGCCAATTATCTAGTCTACTGTATGGCAAAAACATTTCCAGCATCTATATATGTACTCATAATAAACATCCACAAGGTGGCAGCATTGATTTATCTTTCATGTCTGTTTGTTAACTATCACACTTGACAGAACAAAAACTTTTAAGGTATGCCCTTTGTCAACATGCCAAAATCATTTGTAAATATCTTTAACCTTTAAATATCCTTTTATCCTTAAAAATAATACCAATATCCTTTAATCCTTTAAAGTAAATGTCTACTAGTTTAATATATTTTAACATGCAATGTACTCTTGTGATAGCAAAGCTGAATTTTCGAGAAGGGTCTGGCTGCAGCCTGGCGCTTGCACTCTCAGACTTGCATTCTCAGGCTTGCACTCTCAGACACTTGCACTTCCGCTAGCGACGTCACTTGCAGTCTTTATTCTTTTTATTTTGGGATGATAAAGACAATTCAGTAGCCTATATGTCTTGTTGTTGACTCAAAGTATATACAGAACAGCAGAATATGAACGTGCATTTGGAATTTTCAGCAGTCATCACTCCAGTCTTCAGTGTCACACGGTCCTTCAGAGATCGTTCTAAAATGCTGTTTTTTTTCAGGATTCTTTGATGAATAGGAAGTTCAAAAGAACTGCATTTATTTGAAATATTCAGTAACATTATAAATGCCATTACTGTCAATTTTGATCAGTTTATTGTGTCCTTTCTGAATAAAACTTAATGTCTTAAAAAAAATTAAAATAGTATAGTAGTGAAAGTAGTGTAAATGGGTCATTCTACAGAAATGTCCCCTTTTGGTATGGCAAGATGTTTAAATGGTAGAAAAACCTGTTTTTGACCTCAAAATAAAGCACTTTTCCTCTGTACATGGCTGTGGGGACGAGCAGTTTTGTGGTGCTTGGAATTTTTTATAATTAATTAAAAATAAATATTGCCACATTGATGGCTCAAGAGGGTGTAATTGTTCAAATAACACATTGTTTTATTTTAAAATATAAAAAAATTGTAACACTAAAGTGTTTTTCAAGTGTAATATTTCTGTAAAGGCTAGGGACAGAAAAGTGGACGTTTCCATAGAATGACCCAAATAGTGTATTTAGCAACATTAATGTGTCATGCTTGTCGAGTATAAGCTTCCTACATAGTAATATATGACGATATCAGTTCTCTTCGCCTGCTCTAAAAATGGTCCACCCTGTCCCTGGCCCAGAAACTTAAGCAGGGGACTGTCTTTTAATAGCTTTGGTTGGTCCTACCAACATTGCACTACTTCACATTCACTACACAAAAAGCCAAGGGAACCTCTGCTCCCAGTGTCATGGCAGGAGAAGGAATCACTATTTCCCACTGGATAGCAAGCCCTGTGCGCTACCAGGAGCACTTCAAAACCAGGAATCTCACTGAATGCACTGAAGATCATCGACTGTTTGCCCTGCCAGGACCTGAATGTCTGCCGGTTGAAATGGACACTGAAGGGAGGCAAACAGTCACTGAGGACGAGGATTCAGTAGAGCCATTATTTTAAGTCCTGCTGGACGTGACTCAATTTAAACCAGAAGACATCCTCATACAGGTCTTTGAGGGGTGGCTGCTGATCAGAGGTCGGCACGGGGTGAGGATGGACGAGCATGGGTTTGTGTCGTGAGTTTCACCAGACACTACCAACTGCCTGACCATCACCTCCAGGCGGGGGACCTCAAAGCCATGCTGTGTCGTGATGGGATACTAGTGGTGGAGACCAAGGACCGATGGTGGCCAGCGTGTGATTAGGACAACACAGTGATTTAACACCATTTATCAGGACATGAACAAACTTGGGCTGTGTTAGTTGAACATTTTTGTTGTGATCAGTTATCCGGTAAAGCAATCACATTCTTTGCTGTTGTATGACAGTTTCGCTTTGTTTTGCATGTCCCAAGATGTTTAACATTCAGCTTGATTTCCTGCATAATGCTTAGTGGCAAAAAATACATTTTCTAGTAAATAAAAAAGACTCTCATATGTTCACATTATATAGGCCTACCCTAAATTATTTAAAATCGGCATCAAGTATATATCAGTTCCCTTGCAGGAATGTGATTAAGCTTCATGATGACATATCATTATGTCACTGTGCAAGCACGTTTGTCAGCATGCCGATACTATAACGCAGCGATAATGTATTAAGGATTTTTTTTTTTTGACAAACCTGTTTAGTACACAAAGCATTCACCAGCGGACATCATAATACTGTTAAAAACCGTACAAATTTATATTTATTCTTTAATTAAAGAAGATTTAATGCTTCATGTCTGTGTCATACTGCATTTTAATCGCACAGATATAAATGAATGTAGTTGACAAAGCGTCTTAAAAGTCGCTTATGAAAGAGATTCGCCTACATAGCGATGTCCGAATCGTGAACTAATTCTACTTTTGAATCGGATCTTTCAATGAATCTATTTTGGCAATGACCAATTCGTTATAGTTGATAGAACATATGAAGCACGGATTAGAAACAACATGTATTTCCGTTTCTGTCAGTTTTAAGCAGGAACGGTATTTTAATAAAACTGTTAAAAGGTTGTTTAAAATGTACGGAGCGCTGCGCTAATGAATATAAATGTTCAATGTCATGAAATTACCATTTTTTTTTTTTCAAATACAGCTGCAGGTGTTATCTGGCCATTTCATTTTACCACATTAATGTTTGTACTTTAGATTACATTAATTTAGGCAAATTACAACATTTACCACAACATCGCCTTCTTGCAGAATCTCAACGGTCGCCACATTCAGCCTGAGACGATTAATTCCATTCACAGAAGCGCGCACGCGGGTAAATTAAACAGGAAATGGCCATGTTTACTGAGAAATGTGATTGGTTTCATTAAAAATATATATAGGAACGAAATAATGACGGTATTAACCCGTTAGCAGCAACAACAACAACAAAAAAACATTTTCGGTCAGAAAAAATTAAATGAAACAAAAATGTTTTTACTTTGTTTCGAACCGTCTGAATGGAGGATTTGACTAATAGATTAAGATGCTAAAATAATATCTGAGTAGTATAAATGTAATAAATGTAAAACGTAGGCTACTTGAAACATGTTTATAGCTTCATTGTATGACGAAGTTGTCAAATCACATACAAAACAGAGCTGGTTTTAATAACGTGCAAAACGATTTAATTCAAGAGATGAATTTTTGTATTATTTAATGTAATGCAAATCATAAATGTTTCTAAATGACATAATGTTTATTGAGCTGAATCATGGCTGCAGAACTGGGACGCATGGAGGGAAAGTGTAATGAACAGCAATATATATGACTACACGTGGCATTTAATTAGGAGAATTTAATATTGTGCCGTAATGGCGTGTTTTGTTGCAAATGAATCATTAAAACAGTTCATTGTAAAGAACTGTTCAAAAGAACCGATTCTCGAAAATCAGTCACTCCTCACCATGTTAGATTTGATTCGTGCTGCTTGGTAATTAGCTCCGCCCTCGACTACCCGGACTGCTTGTGCTCGGCGCTGCCGCTGTTCAGGGTGAGCGAGTGTACGCTGTGGTCGGAGTGGGACGGGCGCACAGCAACGGGGCTCTGGAAGGTAAACTCCACAGATGAAGAAATGACTACAGCTCTGAGGTTTTTAACCAGGACAGCTGATTGATCGTCAGGTTATCGTATGACCAGTGTGAAGAGGACGCTGGAGATAGTGGGTTTACGGTTCCCTCAGCAGAAGCTTAAGTTGTTGTCAGTACTGCAGGTCAGCGAGTGAGTGAGTTTGGCTTGGAGTTAGCTAGCTGATACGCTAACCTTTTACGCTTTTAAATTCATCGCAGCTTGGAGAAATGGCTTTGCGAGCGAGAGCTCTGTATGACTTTAATTCAGAAAACCCAGGAGAGATATCGGTGAAAGAGCACGAGATTGTAACTCTGTACAGCGAGCAGGACATTGAGGGCTGGCTGGAGGGGACGAACAGCAGAGGGGAGAGAGGGCTCTTGCCTGCGTCCTACATCGAGATTTTGAGAAATGACACCGTCTCGTCTTTTAACCACAACTCTCGATATGCCAACATTCCCACTGGTGGTTTTGACATCAAAAATCAGACTCAAGAGAGCTACAACACTGCACCAGCATCAGGCTTCACAGCCTACCCTGCACTACCTCAGCAGCAACAACAACATCCAGGGACTCCAGCCAGTGATGATGATTGGGATGATGACTGGGACGATCACTCGTCTGTAGCTGATGAACCAGGGGTTGTTGGTGGAGGATATAGGAATTATGAAGGAAACGGACCCTCTGGCTACAGCATCTCCACCTCCTCCATGCCTAGAGGTGCACAGCAAGCCAAAAGTTCAGCCACAGTCAGCAGAAATCTGAACAGGTTCTCCACTTTTGTGAAGTCAGGAGGTGAGGCGTTCGTGCTGGGGGAAGCGTCCGGCTTTGTGAAGGATGGGGATAAAATCTGCGTGGTGATGGGTCAGTATGGTCCGGAGTGGCAGGAGAACCCGTACCTGTTCACTTGCAATATTGATGACCCCACCAAGCAGACGAAATTCAAAGGCATGAAAAGTTACATTTCCTACAAGCTGACACCGACCCACACGCAGAGCCAGGTCAACAGAAGATATAAGCATTTCGATTGGCTCTACGCCAGATTGGTGGAGAAATTTCCTGTCATTTCGGTGCCACACATCCCTGAAAAACAAGCCACTGGTCGCTTCGAAGAAGACTTTATTTCGAAAAGGAGAAGAGGGCTGATATGGTGGATGAATCATATGACCAGTCACCCTGTACTAGCCCGGTGTGATGTTTTCCAGCACTTCCTCACTTGCTCCAGCATGGATGAAAAGTCTTGGAAGCAAGGGAAGCGGAAAGCCGAGAAGGACGAGATGGTCGGTGCCAACTTCTTCCTCACCATCAGCACTCCAGCAGCCCCTCTTGACCTGCAAGACGTTGAAAGCAGGATTGACGGATTCAAGGCCTTCACCAAGAAAATGGATGACAGCGTAATCCAAGTCAATGCCACGCTCAGCGAGTTCGCGAGGAAGCAGATAGCCGGGTTTAAGAAAGAGTATCAGAAAGTGGGACAGTCTTTTAAGTATCTAAGTCAAGCATTCGAGATAGACCAGCAGTCGTACTCGGTCGGTTTGAACCAAGCAATTGCATACACGGGGGAAGCCTACGAAGCTATTGGAGACTACTTTGTGGAGCAGCCTAAACAAGATGTGGACCCATTGATGGATTTGTTAGCCCTGTACCAAGGACATCTTACCAACTACCCTGATATCATCCATGTACAGAAAGGTACGCATTTGCTTGTTTATTTGTATAATCATCATAGAAATATGCATGAAACTGTGTTTAGCCTGAGATCAGTGGGTATGAAAGAGAACAGGGTCACCTGCTCTCAGAATTGTTTGCTTTGCTTTACTGATTTGTTTGCATTGAAGTGCCACTGATGAGTTCACTGGCCATCACGGGCTGAGCTGTTGCTGACGTGCTTTGTATTTTTCCTGTGGCTGGTAAATCAGCCACATACAATGACAAAGACTGAAACTATTGACGTACTGCATTGTTCAAGAAAGGTTGACGGGAGTTTCAGTACACATGCAATCATTCAGTGAATGGCATTGATTAGAGCATGGATGTTATTGTTACATATTTCTGACACTTAACAATTTATAATGTCCTTGATCCTATTACAAAGCAAGAACATTTTATTTCAAATCAAAACATGTAGGAACGCTTCATTTTTATCAAAAATCATGATGCTCCTGAATGCAAATAAGGTCCTCTGACGGTGCAGAATGTGTAAAAATCACACCTTCAGGTGTTTGATTTACTGCTTGAATATGTATGACACTTACATTAACATTTGCAGATACATGTGAGACTTTACCATCTCAAAGCTAGAGTTCCTACTGTATGAGATCATTATTTAGATAGACTTCCTTTTTTGGCTCAGTTATTTTTAAGATCGAGCCACTAGCTTGTATTGTAGGTCTCACAAAACGCATGATGTCACATAGGCTACATTTTGCAATAAAGACAATGTTCATTTAGGGCTGGACAATAATTCAATATCAATATGTATCGCGATATTTGCTGATTATCAATATTTAAAACAGTTGAGTAAATTTTTTTTTTCAGGATTCTTTGATGAATAGAAAGATCCAAAGATCAGCATTTATCTGAAATAAAAAGCTTTTGTAACATTATACACTATTCCATTCAGTATCATTTTTATTATTTTTTTAGGAAAGAAATTATAGAAATTAATACTTTTATTTAGCAAGGATGCTTAAAATTGATCAAAAGTGATGATAAAGGCATTTATAATGTTACAAAAGATTTCTATTTCAGATAAATAGTGTTCATATCGATATCGGAATTATATCGTATCGACCGAAATTAAGAAATATATCGTGATATCAATTTTGGCCATATCGTCCAGCCCTATGTTCATTTTAAACAGTCATTGATTGTAAAGGGTGTTTTTATTGTCTTCTATCAGTTTCTCTGCAGTTACATCATGCAGTAGTCAACATGATGTGAAACAAAATGAAACGGCCAAGCAAAAACCCATGTCTATTATAAGAAACGTTTATTGTCACAAGCTTATGAGCCCAGAGGCAAGACTTCATTATTAACTTACTTAAAAAGATAAAGGGGAAGAAACTTTACCATTTTACCAACTTTACCATTCAAAAGTTTTGGGGTCAGTTTTTTTTTCTTAAGAAAATCAATACTTTCTTCCGCACAAGGTTGCACTAATATTTGTTGTAATATTAAAATGTATTATTAAAAATGTTTTATAATAATATAGTGTTTATATACTCATTGTCTTGTATGTTTTTATAGAGAGTCTGACGTGAATTATAGGAAACCTTGAATTTTACAAGCTGTTTGAACAGTCCACATTTATGTGGCAACTTGTCGTAACCACAACATGAACAAATAGTGTGCTTTGTCAAAGCCCACAGAGATGTCTATGAGCTACAGGGTAAAGGTATGCATTGATTTGTCTACACCTTGTGGGAATATAGTGAATGTTTTGATCTTGTTGTTCACAAAAGCTTTAAAAAGTGGTCTAAATTTAGCTAGATTTATTTTCATGAGTCTTAAATGTGCAAACCAGATGTTTAATACAGTCTGGTGCTGTAGACACCACTGTCACTCTATTGTGTCTGCACAATGCTTTTGAAAAATAGAAATGCTGTGTCGTACTTCCAGCAGAGAGGCCTCAGTCTGTGACAGATCCAGCTGACAGTCTAGCACTGAGGTCACCTGCAGCTTGCTGAAGCCCATATGCCATACATGAGCATTTGCGAAAAATTAAATTGTATTTTTAGCCAATTCTTATTGCCATTGTCACCATATAATGTTAGAATGGAAGAAACAGCCTTATTATAGATGAATGCTGTGAGAAATACGAATGCTATGAGAAATGACACCTTTTCTCCATTGCATCTGTGGTTTTACCCACTATTTCACAGTTAACTTGAGCAAACATCTACAGGTCTTTAAGAAACAATCTTCCAGACCTTGAATTAGTTAGTAGAAAACTATGAGCAAACCTGTCCACTTTCCATCACCTCTGTGTCATTCAAACCCCTCAAGGAGTGTGTGAGGGGGCATATAATAACTTCCTGCCTACTAAAAACCTACTATGCCCCATAGGCATTCAGTTATCTTTCAGAAGTAATAATGATCATTTTGTCTCTGAATTCTAGTTATATAGCTGCATTTGTTGCAGTTTCATCTTATTGTCCTTACCGCTCACATGCTGCTGTCACCCTTTTAATAAATCTCATGGCACCTCAAAAATAATGC